AAGCCCTCATGGGTTTTCCCATTGTGGGCTCTGCCATTGGCGCTGTGGTTGGACTAGAACTCAACCCTGAACCTTCGGGGTTGAAAGCTTGGGGGTTTCCGTTGTGTCGGTAGGGTGTAGGAGCTTTCTATGTGAAGACCGCTTTAGGGGTTCGAGAAAATCAGAAGAGCAGGACACCTTAAGCAGGGATCCGAGAAAGACGTCAACTTAGAAATGCACTTAGCAGGTAGATGGCCTCAAGGCTTTCTCTGTTCTTCCACGTGTACCCAAAAAGCAACATGTTGGTTGTTTGCATCAGCATGGTCATAATTCACCGTGGCCTATAGGATACTCAGGGACAGTAGCCTACATTTGATCGAGTAACTGCGCTCCTGACGTTTTATCGTTTGTATCGTGCCGCAATGCTAAGATAGTATCCTGCAGCGAGTTCCAACGGCGCCCTTGTAGGCATCCGACCCCCGCTCAAGATTTTTGCATTTGAAACTGACCTACTCGCAGCTTGCATTCCAAGTATCTGTCGGATTCAAGCAGAACCCACTAATCAGAAGCATCGAATGCCTCGAAGAGAAATGCGGGACCACAAACCTACGCCAGAACTCACAAGCCACTGCCGCTCCCGTCCGCCTGGCCGCCAACCGATGGGAAAGCCATGGCGCACTCTCTGGCAAAATCTCAAAAGCGCATGAAAAAACTGAGCCATCGGCCGCAGGAAATCGCTTTTCCGTATCCTGTCACCGACTTAGGCTTTGTAGGGCTTGCAGTAGGGTTTAGGGCCAGGGCACTTGAGGTAAGGTAGGATCTCTTAGGATAATAGCATTTAGAGGGTCTGGGGAGGACTTTCGGGGCCAATGCGGTTTCAGGTTTGATACAAGAAACCTATCACGATGGAAACCCCGAAACCATGGCTTCCCTTGAGTCAGAGGGAGTCAGTAAAGCTTCTTTGACGGTACGCGACCCCTGACCCCACAGCATCTGGGTGTGTTAGAAATAGAAAGCATTAAACATCTGAACCCTTCAACGCGAAAGCGTTCACCAAGCCCCAATCCTCTAAACCCTTGAACCCTGGTTTCGATCACTGGAATGTCCCATAACCCACTTACAAAAAGGAAAAAAGGATGGCACTCAGCGTGACAGGAATTCAAAAAAAAGAGTTGAACGAAGGGTTTGATAGACTTCTGGGGGGATTTAGGTTTGTGGCTTGAACATGCGCGTGAACTTTCGGGAACGCAAAACTATCTCAGGGCTGCCATGGGTGGAAGAAACAGTTGACCAAGAGCTTGTAGTGCTATGCCCTAAACCCTAAACCCCGAACCCTGAGCCACAAGGAAATGCAAAACTGAACCCACAAGGCGATCCCATCCGCCGTTTACTGGATTTGGGGGGTTTTGGATTTAGGGCAGTTGAGAAGCCTTTTGCAGCAAAGTGGCATGACCGCTCTTCTTGGGAACGCGATATCATGTTCTCGGCTCGCCGGGCCCCCCCAAGCCCAAATCGCTGGACCCCTTCACTCTGAAGCATGTCGGCACAGACCCTCTAAATCCCAAGGTTGAGCCCCAGCACCTTGCAACACTTCGAAGCCTCACAGACCGTCAGTTATTCTCAGTTGCGCGGGATGTCCTACTACCGGGTCCTGAGAACAGGAATGGCTTTGGGCGCTTGCAGCGTTGGGCTTCGAGTCATCACAGAATATACAAAAGTAATATTATATAGTAGAGTGTAGTATAGCCTGGTATGGCATGGGATATGCCACATTGTGAACTTGTATAACATTATGAAGCAGTATATCATAGACTCGCCTTATTGCAAGCTCTGGTGGCATTGGTAGCGGGAACCCGGAGAAACGAGAATGCACAGGTGCAATTATTGCGGCCGGCATCCTGGAACAAAACAGCAGTTGGCCGACTTGGGCTAGTCTCCACAACCATGCATCTGAAGCTTGCAATCGGTCTGTCTGGCTCTCTTCGAAATATCCATCTATCTATCTATCTATCTATCTATCTATCTATCTATCTATCTATCTATCTGTCTATCCATTTGCCTACCCATCTATATCCATCTATCCATCTATCTATCCGTCTGTCTGTCTGCCTGCCTGCCTGTCGCTCTGTCTCGCTGCCTCTCTGTCTGTCTGTCCGTCCGTCTGTCTGTCTGGTATGAACATACATACATACATACAGACAGACAGACAGACAGACAGACAGACAGACAGACTAACAGGCAGACACACAGACAGATAGCCAGTCGGACAGACAGACATACTTAATCAAAAACATACACAATCATACGTACAACCATACATGCGTACATACATACATACATACATACATACATACATACATACATACATACACACATACATCCATTGCATACGTACATACGTACATACATACATACAATACATGCGCACATGCATGCATGCATGCATGCATGCATACATACATACATATATACATACATACATGCATACATACATACAACACTTACATACATACAGCACTTACATACGTACATACATACAATACAATACAATACAATAATATACAGTACAGTACAGTACAGTACAGTACAGTACAATACAATACAATACAATACAATACAATACAATACAATACAATACAAGCGCACATGAATGCATGCATGCAAATGCAAATGCAAATGCAAATGCAAATGCAAATGCAAATGCAAATGCAAATGCATGTCTCTCAAAATCTGCCTATCTATCCATATGTGCATCCATCTGTCGGTGTCCATCTCTCTATGTCTCCATCCTTCCTTCTTTCGACTTACCGATATGTATGTAGGCAGGTACGCATGCCTGCACGGATGTAAGTCTGTATGCCTGTATGCCTATATGTACCACACATATGCCAATGCACATAGTGACACGAGATGCGTTGGTTGGTCGTTGTTGGGATAGTCACATAAGACCCCGCAGGCCCTTCTGGCACTATATACTCCCCTTTCGGAGGAACGCCTTGAACGTCGACACCGATCCGGTTGCGCTTTTCGCGCCAAGCGCGAAAGGAAGATCGCAGGTCCACGAAATCTCCAAACGGCCTAGGGTTTTGGGTTGAGGGCTCGAACTTCTTGGGTGTCGAGCTTGGGGTAAGAGCCCACAGATGAGTCGTAATCTAGGGCTTAATGGCCGTTTGTTCTCTACCAAGCCTGCGGCGGCATGTAACGAGAGCCGCCACCTCCCTTGGAAACTCCCGTCTAGCTTGCTAGTACCACGAGTGGAACTGTCCTATGGTCATTGACGTTGTTGTTGTTTCCGTTCTACCCGCGAACAAGATGACAACACTTTGTCGGGCTACACCAACTTGGTACGTACTCTGTACTTGTCCAATTACTTCTCTTTTCAGCCATCACATAAAAAACAGCAATGGTTGTGTGAACCTCAGACCATGCTTCGTGGCTTCATGAGCATCCACTCGTACCTAGCATGAGAGCTGCAGGCTTCCTGCAGCCTGCTTAAATAGTGTCTTCACAATCTCGCGATCAATTCGACCTTCTACGTGCAAATTGCCTGTTGAAGCGCCCTACCTTTTCGTTTCAGACCTCCGCGAATAGCTCTGGCCGCATTAGTTTCCATCTGTATTTTGGCAAGTGAACGAGAAACTCAACAAGACCTGCACCTTCAAACACACAAGTTTCCGAATTCACATGGGTAGTTTCCGGGACCGTTTGTGGTCAACCGGTTGGTGGCTGACTGAAACACGAAAGGCGTTCTTGACAAACGTGCCAGGTGGTGAAGATGGGAGGTTGTCTGAAAGCTGCTGTCCAGAATCCTGCGGATCATGATCCTTCGCCTGAAGCCCAAGTGCTCATGAGCTAGCTTCGCCCAGACCGCAACCCCACAAATCCACCATTAGCCGAAAGAGATGTTCAGCTGCGATTAGGGGCAGCATGCGCTTTACGGCGAAAGCCTCTAAACATGTCCCTACATGTCCCTGATAGGAATGGACTTGACGTCTAGTATTATCAGACGTGTATAGATCGATACACACATGAAAAGAGGGAGACGGAGAGAGAGAGAGAGAGAGAGCAAAAGAGAGACAGAGCATGAACTTATTCAACAGCTAAGTGTGCTGGTATACACGCCCTGGTGTCGGAATGGGTGCATGATTGTAGATTTCTGCTTAGGTACTCGTGAAAGTGGTTAGCAACTCGTAAAAGTGGTTAGCAGAAACAGCGCGGGGAAAGCAAAGCTCAAATGCGATAGTTCACACCTTAAAACTTCGACTAGAACTACAATGCAACAGCAAACCGTTTGCAGTAACATCAGTACTCAGCCAAACTGTACACATTGACGAGGAATAATTGAAAGTGTATTGTGATTATGGAGGTCGTGCCACCTGGAAAATTCGACAGAAGAACAAAACGCGCACGCACACAGGAAGACATGCTCCTGCCGCATCATCAAGTAAACAGCAAAAAGCAAAGTGCCGGCACAGGCAGGGCGTACTCTTTCGGATTTGCATGGTGGTTCCATCCTTGCTTCTTCATCTCTCTTGAGGGCTTTACCCTTAACCCTACACCCTCAAGGATTAATGGTTTAGGTCGTGGCCGCGGCCAGTTCGTTATGGGTGTGACGGAACAGGCACGGGTGTTTGACTGAGATCTCCGAAAGCTCTACGATTCTCCGAAAACCTGCAGACTTAAGTTTGAAACCCCGAGCCGTAGTTGACAGCGAGCTGCGAAAACGACTCCGGGAAGTACTTGCACTTCTCATCCCGATCCCGGTGGACCGAGTTTTGCCTTGTTAAAACACTTGCGACATGTGGCACTTGATCGCCGCTGTCGCTGATAGTCTGTCTACATCGGCAACCAGGATCTTCAAAATGCAGAGCTTAAAAAGGTCTCCTTTCAGGGAGACTTGTTGACAACCGTCGGATGCAAGAACCCCAGCCAGTGCATCTATGGTAGCACTACCATTCAAGATTTCTGGTGAGTTCGTGCTCCGTCTGCTTCCCCCCCAAAACTATTGAAGGGCCGCGGCCTCACGCACCTTGAGGATTGCCCGCACCTCACAACACGGAATTTAGAGACACACAGAAACCCAAAACCAGGCTTACAGGTTCAGCAGTGTCGGTCCTGATTTCAGCGGAAGAGCCTTATCAAACCATACCATATACAGCTAAACATATATATATATATATACATATATATATATATAAGTATATATATATATAGAGAGAGAGTTACATTTCTTCATAAACTCATTTATTTATTTCTTTGCATATATTTGTATTCATCTTTCTACTCAATATCTATCTTCATATTCATATATATATATATATAGTTAAACTGACCTTATGTATATATATATATATATATATATATATATATTTATAAGTATAAATATAACTGTAAAAAACAATAAGGAGGATTATGTCAGGCTGAACAGGCTGATTTGGTCTTCGGTTATTCAGCGTGTCCGTAGTTCTTGGCGTCGCCCACGGGATGCCGATGGTGCCCCACGGCAGTGAAAATGCCAGGCTGAGGCTTTAGCCTCCGAAGTAAGAGCATGCAAACCCTGTAGCCTCAACACAACGACTCAAGGCCCTTAACCCTAACCCTGTAAACCCACTTCCCCAAACCCCTAAGTCCTAAACAACTTTTGCAACAGCTTGGGTGCAGCTTCACAGAGTTCTAGGCATACAGCAGCTATCGTGACAACTGCTCCGTCCCTGACATTAACTTTAACTATGCTAAGCGGACAAACAGCCGTCATGGCAACACGCAGCGTGCCATCAGCCGCGATAACCGAAGCACTTACCGAAGCAAAGCTAAAACATGACATCGACGAGGGCAACAGCGACGACTGTATCAGCATCGCTATCATCATCGCCGACACCATCACAACCATCATTACCATCCTCATGGTTATCGCCATCACCATCATCGTCATCATCACCGTCATTTTGCATCCTCACCCCCCATCAGCACCGGCATCAACATCCTTGTCATGATCCGCATCATCATCATCATCATCAGCAGCGCACTTGCAGCAAGGCCATCATCATCGCTGAATCATCACCATCACATCATCATCACCATACTCATCATCATCATCATCATCATACTCATCATCATCATATGACCATCATGATTATCAAGCTACATCAAGAAAATGCACAATGATATGCTGATGCTTGCCATCATCATGCTCTCTGCCAATGTCATCACCTTCGCCGTCCGTATCATAAAGACCGATCCGCATGAATGTCCACCCTTGTCATCGTCATCATAGCCATCGTCAGCAGCAGTGGCAGCGGCAGCATCAGAGTGGTCATCATGATGCGAGGCAGCACATGCAGCTGCACATCACCAGCGACACGTTGCATAAAACTCTTCGTCTTCCTACCATCATCATCTACACCATCATGGGCGAAATCGTCAGACCAGCATCAACAACAACAACATGATGAGCACAATCGTTGTCAACGTCATCGTCACGCACAACACCAAACCAATGATCGTCGCGTTCGTTGCCGAAACCACCCATCATCACCAGCATCCTCACCATCGTCATGTCACTTGCTTGAAGGGGCCGGTGAATGTGCAGAGGAAGCTAAGGCTGACCTGAAAAGACACTCATATTCAACCCCCATATTCACGACCCACACATTACCGACCTTGCAGCTGCCCTGGAGTAATTTCGCCTTAGGGACTCCCTTGTGTAGAGGCTCAAAAATTATAATAGGCTTTGAAGTATACCGATGGTATACACTAAGGAGCCCGGAGGCCCTAAGGAACAACATCGGTAGTTGGTCAAGCTTCTGTATTATGAGGACGAAACCCTATGTCAATGCCCTAAACCCTAAACCGGCTCCCTGTGATCACGAGCCTTGGAGCGCTTCAACTCTTTCGCTGAGTGTGTCGACGAGCGCCTCGCGCATTCGTCCCCACGCTGGGCTTGCTCATTCGTGTGTAAGGGTCCATCCGGGTGTAGGGGCTTGGGTTTCGGGCATCCGGTTTCCTACATGGTTGGGGGTGCCCGATACCAACGTGGCAGAAAGTTATTTTCTGCCGAGTTCGAGCACGGGGTATTTCATAATAGCATCTGCAGAGTTCGAGCAAGGGTATGAAAACATACGTACACAATCTAACACAGTGTAATCAGCATGATATCAGATTGTGTCTGAGCGAGTCCCAAGCACTTGAGTGACTAGCTGCAAGAAAGGTAGGACCTCCCTGGTCCTGAGACTGTCGGACATCTTATTTTGCAATAAAACCCGCTCGCCGGGTGAGAATGCCCCCGACCAACTCTAAACCCCAAATCCGGAAGCACCAAACCCTCTCCAAAACCCCTGGACCCGAAACCGTATGAACCCTAAACTGATTCGTGCCTGAAGTTCCTTGGCGAAGGCTGGGTTGCCAGATTTCGTGCCAGCGAGGACTGCCAGCTGATGGAAGGGCATCCTGTTGAGGACCTGAGAAGGCGTCGTTTCGGGTTTGACCCAATATTACACGGGCTTTAAAATTTGTCTGTGAGGGTTCTAGAGGGCTACCTCGAAACAACGGTTTGTAGTTTTTAACTCCTGAGGTTGAAGCCTCGAAACTCACGTTGGCGTCGGCTTCGGTCCCGTAAATCGGGGTTAATGGTTCCGTGTTTGGGATCTATCCTTTACTTGAGGTTGAAATGTCAGGCATGGTATCGGGCTTCCAGGTTCGCGGGTGCAGGGTTTTACGGCGTCGCGTTTAAGAAGACGTAAGACTTCGCAAAGAAGCAGAAGAAGAAGTCGAAGAAGCGGCGAGGATGTATTATGACGTTTCTTTTTGTTGAAGGCTCTTTTCCGTCAGCACGACTTGCGGCCTACAGAAGCATGCGGGAGGCGCGTCAATTCGGCCCCTGTAAGCACCCTCACTTGCAAGAAGGAAAAGCCTAGCTAAAACCGAACCGCAGCCATCACAGACTGAGCCATGCACATTGCACAAGAGTGGAAGTATGAAGTATTTCCACGCCCCGAAAGACAAGAGACACCGGTAGCATTGTATTAGCAATGCGCACGTCAGTTTTAGACAACCCACATATGCCTTCAGCATCTCACTCAACTCGAAACTCCGTGTTGGACAACCCTGCACTCATGAAGCCCCAAGCACATGCAGCACGATGTCCCTCCAGCACGATCCGCAAAGTTACCATAGGACTTGCGGGTTCGCAGATGTTGTACGCGCAGTATGGAACATACATCCACACCCCCCTCGCTGGCTCAGACTTTGATCGCAGCGAGTCATACCATTGCTTGGTGTAGCCCTGTTGAGCCCAGCTATTGAACCTCCGTCAGTGCCAGCCTGTCTTCGCTCTAGAATACAAGTGCTTGTCGTAGTTCCTTCGCTTCGAACTGTTTTCATTCACGACTGTACCATCGATGCCGCCGCCACCTTGGACGCTTGCCCAACTTCCTGCCCCTGTACCAGCTCTTTGAACCCAGATGAGACGCGCCCCACGGGATGTCGCCCGAGTCATCGGCCATCGCGGTGGAGCTGTTGCTCTCATTCCCAGCCTTGCAAACAGAATTTTCCCCATCCGCCCAGATGCACTCTTCACTCTTCCTCAACGCAGTAGGCACCCATACTACAATCCATGATCCCGCTCTCAGCACCATGACGACCTGGATCCACATCTATGCTTCGCTTCGTTGCAACCTCGTTCATGTCAACTTAATCCTGTGATTCGCACGTAGCTTTCGCTTTGACCGGGTTGGGTCTTCTGGTCTTCTGTTTCTCAAAGCCAGTACCGACATGGTAGGTTCCATCCCTTTGCTTGAGGCAAGCCTCTGGGCATTCTCCAACTCATGCAACCTGAGCTCCAGACTTTGGCACTGCTCAGACAAACTCATCACCAGCTCTCTCTGCGAGGCGGCTTTGTCCTGCATCGCCCCCGGCCCGAGGCACAAGTCCAGCTTCTGTTCCGCTTTCAAGATGGCCTCATCGAGCAGTCGGCTGCTCGAAGCCTTAATCAAGCTGGCCTGTTCACCACGCAGTCCGCGAAGCATCTCCATGTCCATCTCAACCGGGTGCCCACCCTCTGCCAGCCCGGGCGGCAAATCTCGCCGCAAGGATGCATCCGGTTCCATCACTCAGGTGAGGAGAGGCGAACCTATGGACAAGTTTAGGCTTTGAAAGGTTAGATCCCGGTTGAGCCATGACGGTTTAGGATTTTGGGTTTGGGGTTGTTAATGACGGTGCTTTCTGACGAAGCACAAGATGACTGATGATGATAATTTCATGATCATGATGTGACGATGACAATGATGATGATGATGATGCTGATGCTGATGCTGATGCTGATGCTGATGCTGATGCTGATGCTGATGCTGATGCTGATGATAATAATAATAATGGCGGCAGGAAACCAGAGACTTGACCGCAACTTGCCTCACATATTTAGCAGAAGCAAGAATATAGAAAGAAACAGACACACCAAAACCCTAGTCGATTTAATTCTTGAGGCCCTATTGTGAAACCATTATAGTAACCCTTCTAGACCCCTAGCCCCACGCATGATGCCGGCATGCCACACGCTGCAATCGCCGGTGCGAAATCACCTCCTCGGCCCAGTTTACTCCAGGGTTCTGAGCTCGAGCTTCTTCCTCCACAAGCCTTGGAACGAAAGGACGGCAACGAAGGTATCGGTTTGGGGTCGAACATTTGCCGGGGCACTCCTAGTCTTACTACTTCTCCTTCTCCTTCTCCTACTCTTACTCCTACCCCTACTCCTACTCCTGCTCCTGCCCCTACTCCTACTGCTACTCCTGCTCCCACTCCTGCTCCTTCTCCTACTGCTGCTGCTGCTGCTTCCGCTACTGCTACTGCCTTTGCCTCTGCAGCTGCTACTGCTTCTGTTGCCGCTCCCAGTACCATTTCTGCTGCTACCACTTGTTACTGGCTTCGTGCAGAAAGTAGTTTCAAAAGTCTTTGCACGATAGTGAACATGTTGGGTTTCGGAGATTGTCTAACTTCTGCCCCCAGTCCGAAGCCTGAGCCCCAAAGACGACTTGTCTGCCTGGCCTTTGGCTTCAGATGGGTTTGGATTAGGTGAGGTTTAGGACTAGCGTGAAGCCGAACAGGCCTGGATGCCTCGAATCATAGTGAATGTCACAAGGCCCTGCAGAGAAAGAATCAAAACACCAAAGCCACCATGATAAAGCTCGAAGGGCAATGCAGGTTGAGTCCAAGCCCTGCGGCCAAGATCGAGGGCCGAATCCCAAAGTGCGAACTACATCATACCAAGCGGTTCCATGTCTTGTACTACCAGCTCCGGCCAGATGTCTCGAACGGTTGTACTGAACAGACAAGAGAGAGCTGTGACTTTAAACGTCCAGGAAATGCTGCAAGCCTCAACCCCGAATCTCTAATCCTTGAATGCCAGCACCAAACCTTCGACAATCAATCAGCCCTAGCTCTTACCAAGACTGCTGGGACATTGCTAGTGTGAGAGTAAAAATAAGCTGCGTGCTAAGTGCTAAGCTGCTGGGATAGAACGCAACGGCGGCGTCCAGCCACAGAGCCCTAACCAAGGAATCAAGCAGCTCGCAATCAACCCTTAGGAAACCCTGTGGGTAACCCAGGGAGAAAGGCAGTCGTGAATTTAACCCTGCGTTTCTGGACTTCGCTACGCGTTCTCCTGTACAGGCACCCATCTTGACAGAATTTGGCAATTTTACGGCTTCCTGAAAGCGCGAGGGATCCGGATGCTCTTAAATTACGGTTCCCGTAATACTGGAAACCGGGCCGAACCCCGAGGAGAGAAAGCTTGCACAACTGAAAATACACAACCTGACAACCAGTAGAGGCGCCTCAACGAATCGTAATCTACTTCTTGATTAACCCCTGGACAAATAACCGAAACCCCTTTTGCTGCACAACGTGAACCCACATCACAACCTCATACTGTAAGGTCCTGTTCTACCCTATAAACCCTAAACTCCTAAAACCCCAAACCCTAATCAAAGTTAAGCAGCGAGAGAAGACAGACCGCTTCCTCCGAGAACCCATTCTCCAGAGCCTCTCTGTGTGTTCCAGGTGGTTAACAGGGATTTGAGGGACTGTTGACGACTCAGGGCTTGCGCTCGGAGTCGAGAGCCCGGGATCTTTAGCTAAAGTTGAGCGCTCCTCATATGAGAATAGAAGAAGCCGTTCTGGTACTTAGATGCTCCTCCGATCGGGGCCTAGAGGATAGACAAGCTATGAAGCACTACACTAACTATGGACTCGAAGGTCAGGGGTTAATACGATATTACATAAACTCGCCTCCAACCCTACACCCTAAAGCCGTAATCCCTAGACCCAAAGCTATATAGTATTCCCTACACCCGAAACCCGTATAATCCCTAAACCCTTAAACCCTAAACCCGAACTCACTAAAGCATAAACCCAAACTAAACACGCTAAACCGTTCGAGCCAAACCCTACATCCAAACTCTCTAACCTGCAGGTCCGCTGGCAGGGCTTGGGGGCTTAGGCTGCTCTAGAGCCTGCGAGTTGCTCCACCAGGCTACCAGCCAAGAACCCGACAGATCATAGACCCCCGCGCCAGACGGCTTGACCCTCGTGGCTGGGGTCTCGCGAGCCCCGGACCACACACCCCCCCCCCACCATTCATCATCATGCTGTGCCCCATAACATGTGCCCTTCGAATGTAAAGCGCCCTTAACCTTAAAACCTAAACCCTAAATCCCTATAATGCCCTGAACCCTACCCTCTCTCAACTTGACCCGCCTTTGTGCGCATCAGATCGTGGAGCAGCAAAAGAGCGATGCCGATATCCAACTCTGCAAACCTTCAGGGTTGGGTTTAGGGGTTTAGGGTCCCCTTGCAACAACCATAGGTTCAGCTATTTCTTAGCGGTTATAGTGCCGATTATCGAAACAGTGGAACTAGCAGCCGGATTCATGGCAATATAGGCGTCGTCGTAGGTGGCGGCGGTCGCGGTCGTCGTCGTCGTCGTCGTCGTCGTCGTCGTAGTAGCAGTAGCTGTTGCGTGATCGTCATCAACATCGTTGCTTCAGGAGATGTTCGAGGATTCCGAGGGTTCAGAAAGCTCAAAACCAGAACTCCCAAGTGCTTCAAGCCTGCGCCCTCGCTTTCTGTGAGTTCTAGAGGTGCTGACAACGACCATCAACCACCATCTTTATCAGACTTTGCGCGGTTGTGAATGGTGGGGCGACAGCTGCAATATAGATCCTTCGAAGATCTCATGCCGCATATGCCACAGGGCACGACGACAACGAAAGGCGCACGAAGGAAGCGAACGATACCAGCAATGACCGACATGTGACTAGTGATGATGTTCCGCGAGCGAAAACAAGCCTATAATCAGTGTGCTGACACTATTAACCATGAACGCTCAGGGAATTCATTGGTACGCAGGGCCATCACCAGATTCGTGACAGAAAGAAAAACACAAACAATGAAGCTGCTTGTGTTCGGGATCAGAGCATCAACACTAGCAGCGCACTCGTACTACTCCAACCTAAAACCCTAAACCCTAAACCCGATACTGCCCCTACGTTAGAACTCCCCTGGTTTCAAAGGCTGCCTCTTGCGCTGGCTCTTGTCCAACTTCGCTGTCTTATCCGGGTGCGAATGGTGACCTGTAGCATATTATAGGGTTTAGGGTTTAGAGTTGGGTATAGGGTGTTAAGGCTTCGCTGTGCGATTTGGGCGTTTCTTAGCATGTGGAATCCCAGTTTGGCAGTTCTTGTATTTCGGGTCCTTCATGGTCGGATTTGTTGAGGGTCCGAGGAATAGAGTCTATGCGTTGGGGTCCCTGACTTGTTTTCTGCAGCCAGCATTTGGGGTTTGCGTTTAGGGGTATTGTGCCGAAGGTTGAGGTTTCCAGTGTGCAGGGTTCCGCATTGTCAGTCCTCGTGAGCTGCGATGGTACGCACATTTGCATGGCACCACAGTGGCATTCCCGAAAAGCGGAGATAATGGATATAGGGCTTAAACCGTTCATGATGAAAAGAACACATCCCATGCTGCGCTACGCTGCGACACTTTTCAGAGACCGTCTGGGCTCCAGATTTTAGCGAACACCCGGCCTGTTGAAGCCCTAAGACACTAAAACGAGACCCCAAGCCATAAACCCTACAAGCCCAAAAAATCCCAGAACCCGAACCCCCCACAAAAAAACACCACAAAACCCCATCGATCCCCAAATCCTGTGTACAAAAATACGCTCGAAACACTACGACGACAGGCTAACATCTGAGTCGGCAGCAGTAGGAGCAGGAGCTTCCGGATGAGCAGGAGCCCACGGAAAAGATGCAAGGCCGCTTGCCTGCGGTTTTCAAAGGTTCAGTGCTAGGGTTTTGGGTTATTAAGAAGACAAGCTTTGCCCCAGGAGTTCCTCTAAGAAGACAACTGTTTCACATGAGGAACTCGGACGACAGCTAGCTGCTAGCTGATGCCACGAGGAAGGGTTACGGGCTAGAGTTCACGAGGGGTTACCGAGCTCGTGCTCATTTCTTCTAGAGCAGATGTTTTTTGGTAGCTGGGTTCATGCACAGATTCATTCTTGGGTGTACTTCTTGTACTGCCTTGTGCAGCCACAGCTACCCTTCTGTTTGAGTGGAAGCCGAGGGGAGGACGATTGCAATGGCGAGTGTATCTTCGCGACGGAAAGGACGATGTAGGGTCGCTGAAACCCTACACATGCGCAAACGGCATCATCCAATCGTGCGACCGAGTGGCTGCACGGAGGTTAATCTCAACAAAACGTAACCCCTTTCCGGTTTATATACCCATTGCCCTATACCCTAATACCCTAGACCCAAGTCACGGGAATCACTAGCAAGAGCAAAGCACGAAGACTCTCATCTGATCCAAACGGCGCCCAGTCTAAAACAGCCACTAAGGACGCCAACATCTTCTATTCACCTCTCAGCTGCTAGAGAGGAGCGCTACCTGCTGATCATCGAAGACCGCTCCTTGCCGAAACATAATTCATGACCTTCGATGCGCTAAGGATTGTTGCGCTGCCAAGTGCTTCCAAGTCGAGTAATTACAGGGAAGCAGCAGCTGGTTTTTCGAACTAAGCACATCCCGCTTAGAAGAATACACAGAGATTTTGCTACAACCCTCAACCCTCAACCCTAAACCCTCAAACTTAAAACCGTAAGCCCGTAAGCCGTAATCCCCTAAACCCCCAAACCCCTAAACCTCAACCCTAAACCCTAGAACGGTCCCCACAGACCCCCAAAACTTCAGACCCACTTCCTCCGAGTTGCACAGCTGCGGATGCCCTCGACTTCCCAGACTCGGCGGGCCTCTGTGTCAGGGTTAGGGTTCAAGGTTTTAGGGTTTTAAGGTTTAGGATTTAAGGCATTGATAAAGGTTCAAGGTTTTAGGGTTTAGGGTTTAGGATTTAGGGCATGGATAAAGGATCAAGGTTTTAGGGTTTAGGTGTTAGGATTTAGGGCATGGCCAGCATGGATAAAGGTTCACGGTTTTAGGGTTTAGGGTTTAGGATTTAGCGCATTGATAAAGGTTTACGAGTTGGTAAAGGTTCAGAGTTTAGGGTTTGAGGCTTAGGGCTTGCGGCATTCAGGGTTTAGGGGGTGTAGACACTGTTGACACCTAAATACTAAAGCCGGAGTAGGACTTGAAATCGATGCTTGGGCCTTGTGCCGGCTATGGAAGGCAAGTCAGTGATCCGAATCCCCTAAACCTTAAGCCCTAACACCAAGGCCTTTGAATACTTCGAAGATGTCACGACCGGAGCTGGCACAGCGCATAGAGACGAAAGGGCTGACGACAGGCTTCAGGGCTTCAGTGCTATAAACCCATAAATTCTAATCCCGAATCCCTGAATCCTAAACCCTAATCCTTAGCCCTAAACGCTAACCTCTATGAGCTTAAGCACAGGCCCAAACCGCTTCCCACGAGCCTTGAGCAGAGGTGCTGGACGTGATCACCTGTCCGAGCTAGGGAAGAGGAGGCGGTTTAGGGCGAAGGGAGAAGGACTAGGATTTAGGGTTGAGGAAGGATTTAGATAGGCTTAGGAAGTAGGTTTCTTTAAGTGCAGCAGCCCCCCTTTCGGGCTTGCACGTCATGAGGGTTTCGGGATTAGGATTAGGGATGGGGACTGGGGTTTACGGACTAGCGATTCATGTCGAGGGTTCTGGGGCGAAGCTTTGGGGATTTTAAGGTTTGGGGTTAAGTGGAGTGGAGCAAAGTAAGCGAAAAAAAGGTTAGTTCTTTCGGAATGCAATAGCACTTCACTCTGGTTTCCGGGCTCTGGTTGGGCTGTGCTGCATGATTCGGTATCCGTAAACACTGCCTAGCTCCGTGTGACTTAGCAAGTCCAGCGCCACTTACCTGTGTAACGATAAAAAATCTAAAGGACACAGTTTATGAACACTACATACAGAAGCCAAACAAACGTCCAAGAAGGGCGTTGAGGGAGCAATTTCCGACGTCGCCGTCGGACCATCTGCGTGGTTCTGAAGCCCAACTCCGTTGAAATCTCAGTCATGCCACAGACTGGACAGACGAGTGCGAAGCCTAGGCCCCATATTATGAGCCTTGAGCATAACAGCTTGGAAATAGCAACATCTGGACAAGGAAGGTCAGTGCTGTAGGGGCCTTATCCATTACACCAGAACTAAATCATGTAGGGACAATAACAGGACAATTCTTGGGACCCGATGTTGCGGTACCTATATGACTTATATGACACAACCAGAACATTAACATGGCTGAAATGTAGATTAATTTCAATTCGCAGGTCCACCTGGGAAGAAGTCTCAACGGCTGGTCCCGCTTGCGCTTCTGCCTGCCCCATGAGTTCATGGAGTAGGGCTTAAGCGGTTTAGGACTAGCGTTTGGGGATTAGGGTTTGGGGACGGAATCCCTTTCGGCTCTCGTATAGCTCTAGCAGCCCAATTACCAACGCAATGCTGTTGCTTTTTCAACCCTACGCAGTGTGCCGACGGAAACGGGACAGAACGAAATGAGGATGAAAACCTGTTTGTTCTTGAAGCCTATGCGCAGAACCTCCATCTGTGCACCCTCTGTCGCTTGTCATGTAAATTGCACGGAGTTTTGGTGGGAGGCTGACAAAATGTAGAGTCTCACAACATCACCTGAATATGCTGCACAGAGTACTTTCGCCGTACCTCGCTCTCTATATATCCTAAACTCCACAAGCCGCGCAGGAAACCTTGATTTCAACTTCCCAACCCTCCACCGAAACCCCGAACCCCATAGTCAAACCCCAAAACCTTATGTCCTAAAGCCTGAAACCTACAACCCCAACCACTACACCTCTGGAAAATCCGAATCCTGAACCCGACACCCTTAAGAACCCTAAACCCTAAACCGTCAAACCGTGCAGCCGTGAAGGGCGAGCCTTGCCAAGGTGCTGTGCGCTTTGGACCAGCTCTTCAACGTAGCCACTCCTGCAAGGGTCTGGGGCAGTTGCATTATGTTGTATTACACAGAATAAGATATTATATCCTGATATAGTGAATGATAGTAAACTACAGGATTTTTTTATTACATTATGCTATACTATATCAAATTATGTTGTGTTGTGTTATATCATCTTACGTTAGATTAGAATGATTAAAATCTCTATTCGTGCATTATATCTTTATTTCATGATGCTATATTACATTACATTGTGCTGTATTAAATTATACGACGTTATATGAAATCATCTGATGGAATATTATAGTGTACTATCGCGTATTAAAGTGTATAATGGTATACTAAAGTATATCATGTAGTTGTGCCGATTGGACTTTGAGGTTTGCGAGTTCTCATGAGGTCTCATGAAGTTGAGGGTCGAGATGCAAGGCTTTTCCGAGCTCTTGTGAGGCTACAAGGGATTGCCTAGGGCTCCGGCAGTGAATTAAATAGTAGGTTACTAGCCTTGGTACTATTTTACCCAGTAACCAGTACTGCAGTACGCGGAGCCCCAAACCAGGGATCCTGGCATTTTCAAGGGCTTGGAAAAGTGTTTCAGAAGGAGGATTATCAGAACAAGACTGCGGTAGACGAAGTCGCCGAGGGAATCGTTAAAAACAAAGCATGCGACACACGCTATGACGCGAAATGCAACATACGAGACCTGGAGTGCACATCTCGCAAGAACACTGTGGACATCCAGTACAAATCAGTACCATCTTCAACTTGCAGCCTCAATGAAACAGAAAGATTATATATGTCTCCCATTTCATACCACCCATGCGGAATGTTCATTAAGACTAACACTTCTCAAAAACACTGTCTGGTTTGGGGCTGTCGTTTGGGCTTGTGTGGTGTCTAATTATCTAACCGGGTCGTCGGATTGGCGAAAAGCTTCAGCCGAGTGTGTGGACCTTATTCAGAACAGCATCCTAGGGAAGGGTGACGGATGTTGAATGTGTGCCAATTGTACAATACTACATGCTGACGCGAAGATGTACACTTGTCTCCAGCCTGCGCAACCCGATCGTGAATGTAGTTGATGATTTGAGGGCTTAGAGTTTGAGGCATTGCGGGATAGTGGCCGAGGGTTCAGGATCGAGTCTACAACTCCCTCCCGGCCGAGGAGCAAGGCTGTCTCGTTCGTCACTACCTGCTTGCAACTTGCCGAAACCAGAAAGCCCCTAAGAATCGAAAGACGTGTGCGTTATGAGATCGCCCTACACTTTCGGTGAATATATTTGGGGCTTCCGGAGTCCGAACAGTACATATCTTCTCGATCCATGGAAGCCGATGGTTCGAAGAGGACTACAGCCGAAGCTCAGCATTCCCAGCACAACGCATCACACCAATAGATCATTCTCAGAGCGGTCTGGCTGGAAAAGATCAGCAAAAACGCCGTGCCGTTGTGCTTCCAGCCTGCTGGATCACTGGCCGCTGTTTACGGCTTTATGGTCCGTTTTCTGCTGGTAACCTGCCTTACCACCAACAGAGCCCCGCCGCGGCACTCGAAGTAGGATTCCAAGACATCTGCTGGCACTTACCAGCAAAGATGACGCGAACTCCGACCGAACCGACCAGACTGAGAGACTTCACAAAAAGGAGCCACAGCTTCGAAACACTGTACCCAGCGATACTACCATTACGGATATTAGGGCCCTTAAGACCATTCTAATCATGGTTTTGGGGTGGCCTAATTCTAGAATAGTAGTGTATATGTATATGGACCCTCCGGGGTAGGTGCTATACCTCCTGAGCCAGACGCCGTCCAGTCCTCAGCCCAAAGCCGATTCTCTTTGATGGTTATGGCAAGCAAATTCCTAAAATCTTGGAGACGCCGATAACGCAGCCAAGAGCCATGCAATAAACCCTGAATCCCAAACCGAAAAGCCAAAGTAAATGAACCATTCGTCCTGAACCGAACACCAAGGACCCAGAATCCTGAAACCTCAGATCTTAAGCACTGAGGCCGAATCCATCAACAGTAACCGGTAAACCCCTAAACCCAACTCACGGCCCCGGCCCCAAGCCCTAACCGCTGAACCCTGCTCTAATCCCTGAACCCCTTGCGGTAGCCCCAAGATCTCGATTGTTTCAGAAGACATACACAGCATTGTAAGGAACGTTACTTACAAATCTAGGTTGTTTGGGGGTTCCATGGAAAAAACGTCGAACCCCAAGCCCCAAAACCTAACAGACCCTAATCCCTACCCGCACACTCCCGGACAGCAAGTAGCCACCAACAACCAAAACCTGGGGACCTGGGGTGCCAGTCCCCCGCCTGAATTTTCGCGCGCGAGTATTCCAACCAGATGTTTCGCTTTTTGTAACTCCGGCAAGCCTTGCCTCCGTCGCCGTTTCCAAGCCAGTCTTTATCGGTGGCAAGCTCTGGCATCGTTTGCGACTGCTCTCATCTGCGAAGTCTTTCTCCTAAGCGCTGCAAAAGCTTCAGGGCTGAGGGTATTGGCATGGGGTTGGGGATTCAAGACTTAGGGTGTTAGGGGCCCTCATTCGCCCTGGGCGCTGCAAGGTGATAAAGGGGCCTGAAGAACTAGTGCAGAGCAGGGGTTTGGGGGATAGTATACCGCTGACAAACTGCTCAGACCTCTATGGCGCAGGGAGTGCTGTCGGGTTTGGGGCTTGAAGCTTGGCGGATGTTAGTGTTTAAGGCTATGGGCCTGGAGATGTTGGCTCTGTTGTGTGCATGCTTTGGTGGCTGAGAGGCGCCTGCCTGCAGGATTTCCATTGTAGGCTTCAAGCAAAAGGAAGGCCCGGGACTTGATAACTTTATGTTGCAGGCTTTGGCGATTAGTGATTAGTGGGTTTGGGGTCTAGTATAGCATCTAGCGTATGTATGTGTGTATATATACACACATACACATACACATACCTGTATACATAGATGTAAATATGTATACATGTATATGTATACTGTACTATGTAGATATCTATATATGTATATACACGTGTTATGTAATGAAGAACCCTTGTGGAAGAGTCTTATCCAGGCTTCGATATTGGGGTGCTGATCTGCTTCGGTGTCGGGTGTGTGAAGCTTCCCGGTCTCCCTCAGTCGCCGAAAGGAAAGGTTTTTGAAGCTTAACCCGGCCAGCCCTTTAGGGTTTAGGGCTTGGGGTTGCGGGTTTCGGGTTTGGGTTTCGGGCTTAGGGCTCCTTTTTGGGGGATTACATGCGGCCGATTATCGCATGTCCATGTTGCTGTCTTCCTGAAACCCAGGCTTTTTTGAACTCGCGCGACGTGGTAACAAGCCTCCATTGTGGAGATGGTGTTTTGGCACTGCAAATCAAACACTGAGGCTCCTGTTTTAGTGTTGTGGTGCTTGCTGGAAGGTCCACTTCTGTGCTGGCAAGTCTCTTCGTCGATGAAAGTTGACCGGTACACGAAGCGCACCTTGCTCAAGACGTGTTCCTTAAAAGAACCAGAAGTGGCCCCAAAAGCTCCCAGTTAAACAAATATGCAACTGGCCTTCAATGTGCAGGTAATTGGAACCACCCTTCTTTGGGTTCTCCGATGTTTGGGCTTATAAGGGGCCAATACGGCCGCCAAATCCTAAACGGTTTAGGGTTGCCAAACTGGGATGCTAAGATGTTCTTTGGGTAGGTTGCAGGCTTATTTGTATTATTCGGGCCCAATTCTACTCCGAAAAGCCCAGCTTTTTGAAAACAGACCCCAACTTAGACAACCACCCAGTTGGTAGGAGGTAAGTGCTCCAAACAAAATAGACGATGTATTGCTCACAGTCTGGTTAGAAGACATCATCTGTCGCTACAAACCACACGGAAACCACCCCTGAGAGTAGCCCTCAACCCGGGTAAATCTAACCTCAAGGCTCCATGCACCTGTATTCTTAGGGTAAACCCGAGGCCGCCCGCCTGGCTGCCGACGGACGGGACAGCCATGAGCACCCGCTTGCAAAAAGTTCAAAATGGTAGCGTTAGGCAACGAAAAACTTGAGCCTTCGGCTGCAAGTGTGGGGTTCAGGGTTTTAGGAATTCACAGTGCAGGAACTCGATGTGCGCCCTGGACAGGGCGAATATAGGGCTTGTACGCTCGCATACAATCCTAACTAGCGGACCCCTGAAATGCCCTAAACCTCAAACCTTAGTGGCCCTAGTGACTTAAGCATCAGAAACCCCTGCAGCCACATGGACAAGCCTCAAGATTGAAACGGCCGAATGCGGACATGTGTAGATCGAGGGATATCGATCCGCGTTGGTGTTAGTTATCGGTTCTCCGCGCCCAATGCATTCATCGACGAGCGCTCCAAACAAGCCTGAACCGCAGTGCGCGAAGCTTCGGGTCCATACGGGACGTGAATCCTCCAACAACCTTGCGCAATGTGTGCGCGAAACTTTGTTCAGGAGTTTAGAGTTTGGGGTACGTACGACGCTAACGTAGGAGCCAGTATGATTAGAATAGGGTTTTGGGCTCCTTTATAAAATGAAAAAAAGAATCTATAAAGAACCCTAAGTACTAACATTGGAAAGACTCACGGAGACCACCACATCTGTTGAAAGACGTCGCGCGAAACTGACCAGGAGACCCCATGCGGCCCACCTTGGAGCTGTGGAGCCGCAGCACCAAGCCCTCCTCCAAGAGCCTGGGTTTGGGGTTTAGGGTCTAATTCAACTCGAGCTTTCAATTTCGGGGCTCAACTTGGGTTCGGGATCAACTGGCGGGTACGTGGGGTTCAACTTGGATTTTCGGCTTCAAGCCGGTTGCGTCGGGTCTAAGAGTCTTCAAACCCAAACCCTATAAACCCTAA